ATGAGAAAACATGACCCAAATATATGCTGTCTACAAGAGACCCACTTCAGAACAAAAGACTCACACAGGCTGGAAGAAAACAAAATTCTGAACTTTAAAGGAGAGATTGACAGCAATACAGTCATAGTAGGGGACTTTAACACCCCACTGACTGTACTTTAGACCAGAAAATCACCATGGAATGCTATGCAGCTGTAAAAAAGGATCCCTTACCGTATGAGACAGCATTGATGTTTCTCTCTCTCCCCCTTTCCTTGAAATCATTGAAATAAATAAATAAATAAAATAAAATACAACTGCTGTAAACAAAAGCTGGATAGTTTTTAAGTATCCTCAATATTTAAAAACTATCCAGCTTTTGTTTACAGCAGTTGTATTTTATTATTTATTTAATTGATTTCAGAGAGAGGAAGGGATAGAAATATCAATGATGAGGAACTTCAATGATCAGCTGCCTCCTGCACGCCCCCTACTGGGGATCAAGCCCACAACCTGGGCATGTGCCCTGACCAGGAATCAAACCATGCCCTCCTGGTCCATAGGTCAACGCTCAACCACTGAGCCATGCCAGTGGGCAGCAGTTAGTTGTATTTTAAAATCTTTGGTACTTTCTGGTTTTTCCTTTTTACTGAAATTTTTGATGTATCAGTATCTCATATACTTTTGACCTTGCTGCCCACCCTCAACGTTTTCAATACTTTAAATCAGAAAGTCTTGCTGATCACAGATTTGGGTACCAATTTCCATTTTGTATACATAGAATCCTTTCCATGAGCTCAATATTTGCATCCAAGCACATTTAATAAAAGATAACACTTAAATCATATGTATCAAGTTTTCTAAAGATAACATTCTCACCTACTTCTACTTTGCCAAATGTATCATTCTACCACAAAGTGGAGAGCTCAAGTTAATGCTTACCTACAATCAACTATATAAGCCTACAAAATCGTGTGTGCTTTCTCCACTCTTCTCCCCTTACTCAATTTAATAGATGTTGTGTATGAGCATTTTGGAAGTAGGTGTGGCTCAGAGTATTGCTTTGTGTTAATCATTCCTTTAATGTATTTGAAATCATTATACCCTTATACACACACATGGTTATAATTTAAATATCTAGGAGTATGATGTTGGGAGGAGGTAAATACTAGCCCCAAAATGCTTTTTTGGAAAACCAGTTTAAAAACTTTGCCATACATTCCAGCTTGCCCAGAAGAGCTCAATTTTTGGCTGTTGCCCTTTCCAATTACCACTAGTGTCCCCTCTTGATCTCAAAAGGGTTCTGGTTTGGACTATAAAAGATATGACCGGCCTAATTACAGGTTCTCAAATTTAAAGATATCTTTCTCTTAAAGAAATACTTAAAATGAAGAGGTCCTTTCAAACATGACTGCATAGTAAGCACTCAGCAATTCCTATTTCTCTGCAGAGAGAGGTAGAACAGCCCTTGCTCTTAAGATGGATCACCACAATTAGAATCTTGGCGTTAACACTTAATAACCACAAAACTTGGGCAAGTTACATGATCTCTCTTTGCCTCAATTTACTATTTGTAAGATGGGGATAAACATATCTAACTCTATGGGTCATTATTAGGGCTAAAAAGAATGTACTGTATATAAAGTACTTAGCACTGTGCTTTGCACAAGTACTTAGTAAATGGTAGGTATCTTTGGGCCACACTAAAAAGTACCATCCTCATTTCTCTGTTCAACTACAACGTATGTTTTCCTTTCAAAAAACGGACCACCACATGGGTTTCTTCACGATATATATACAGAACTATTCCTGTGTAAAGTACTCCAGGACAATGATACAAAATGTTTAAAATTGGTGATCTGACCCAGCAGGTGTAGCTTAGTGGTTGAGTACAGACCTACGATCCAGGAGATCTCGGTTCTATTCCCGGTCAGGTCACATGCCCAGGTTGCCGGCTCAATCCCCAGCAGGGGGTGTGCAGGAGGCAGCCGATCAATGACTCTCATCATTGATGTTTCTCTTTCACTCTCTCCCTTCCTCTCTGAAATCAATAAAAAAATATATATTTTAAAAATTGGTGATCTGTTTGCTTTTCACAAAAGACCAACATAATTTCATACCCAGGGCTCCTGAAAGACCAGACTGACCTTCCTCTCAAATTGAACAACTTTTCCCATCCATGACTATGAAGTTGTTGCTCTACTGTCTGGCAAATAAATGTCACCAACCATCTTGTGCCAACCCAAAGGAATCCCTTTAACCTTCATTTTTGCAGCATGGTGTGTGGTTGTTTTCAAAAGCTCTGAGTTGTGTAACATCATCCAAAGCTGGTTTCTTTTAACTTTCTTCTCCTTCGCAATCTCTTCTTATATGCTGACAATACTTCTCCTCACCCCAGTTCCTTGTATAATCTCTCTTCTGTAGCTCTAAGCACCACCTCAGTGGAGAGCTAGATACATGGTTTCCATCCAGGCTTTTCCTAATTTCAACTATTTAGATGTCCTAAAAGCAATTATCTTCTGCTTCCAGAGCTATCCTTCTGTATTTCCTATTCTGGTTAGAAGCACCTCCACCCACCTAAAGACATCTAATGGGTTCTGTGGACTTTTTGTCTTCCAAATCTGTTATTTCCAACCTTGCAACATCCAAAGTTCAAGCCCAAGTCATCTCTCCCTTGAATTTCTGTGCTTTAGAAATATCCCTCAGGGAGCATTTATATGTCTGTTGAAATCTTGCTTCCAGGTGTATCCTGTTTGGCTCAAATAAATTTTTATAAAAATTCTCTCCAAAAAGAAAAAAGGAAATGTCCATCTGGCAGCAATGTCCAGGATAGACGGAGTTTGTTAAAGCAGGTAAGAAGACTACTGCAAATTCACCATTGTTCTTTTGCGTAAATCCCATGGGTCATTCCATATTAACCACACGGTCATGTAGAAACCTCTCTCACGGCAGGCGGCTTTCCAACACTGGGGCCCTTCCTACCTCTCCAGTTGTCTTTTAAGAGTCATCCAACCCATTAGTCAAAGTTCCCAAATCCTCTTGCTCTGGAAGGTGCGATCATTGATGTAAATTAAACCCTGCCAAAATGCAAGCCCCAATACTACACACCCTTATTACCTAGGTTTTGCCTGATACATTACACACATCTCCCATATTAGATGTATGAAGGGTAGAGGGCAGGGATCACATCTTATTCAGATTTAGTTTGGAGATGCTAAATAAATATACTAACTGAAAATACACAATGATAATTTGAAGATTTAATAACTAGGTTCTGAGAAGCAGGTACTTCATGTAAGTTAAATTCATATTATTATGTGACCTTAAATTTCACTTGACCAATTACTAGTATATGGAAGGTCCTGTCAATTTACTCCTTTGGAAAAGTGACTTAGATTTTATTTCAAAATGCAGAAGCCAGTTTTTTTGTTTTTTATTAACTTAAATAGGTTAAGCAAGTTGAACTGCTATACTGATGGTATAAGATTTCCTATTTAACTGGTGACAATGAGAAAAAAGTACGATTTAGTTCCACTTTCTGGATCAACACTTTTTTTATATAGCGTGTAGTTAGCTTATTTGCCTAAACAATGTGTGTGTGTGTTATGACGAAACCTGTTTTGTTATTAAGGGGCCAGGCTTGAGTTTGTTTTAATGGAATTTACCTATATAAGCAGTAAAAAGAAAAAAAATACTCTATTTCTTCTGAAACTTGGAAAATGTAAATTATAAAGGATATTAAATGGGTGAAAAGTAGTTTTACATAAGACTTTGTTCATCTAGTTATACTTCAGAGTAATGTTCAGGTGTTTGATTTCTAACTCCTATCCTCTATCCATTCAAAGACTAAGCTGAACAAGTATTACTCCTGACACATAACTTCCAAATAGTTACTGGTGAAACACCACTGAATTACTCCTAAATGTCACACAACTTATATTAATCTTGGTAATAAACTATCTTAATAAAACCACAGAAAATAAGACACTATGTCAGTAAGATAAACTAGAACTGGCTAAGAAACATTCTTATAATCTGGATAGCTGGCTTACAATTGTTTATTTGCAAAACTGTTTGTCTCGGGTTCATTTAGAAATATTAATGGTTAAACATCCTGAGCAGCACTTAGACAAGCACTCCTGCTCCTTAAGTATGGGAAAAAGTACTTGATTAATGTAATCAGCACATTTCACCAGAGAGGATTATAAATTCTCTTTAGTCATACATATAACTTCATTTACGGCATTTTCTATGCTTCTTCACTAAAGCTTCCTGGAAAAATCTTAGAAAGTTAGAACAGAGTAATAAAATGAGAATATGTGCCAAATGCAAGGTACCATTATTATAAAATAAAATACTATTGTTAATTAGAAGTGACCTGTTAATGCTAATATAGCCTGCTATATTTTACTAGGGATATGGAATTTGCAGACTAGCCCCTCCCACTCCCCCCACTGTGTCATGCACGCAGGAAAGCATGAAATTTCAGAATTGCCTAACATTAAAAATAAGTCTCTTAATTTATTTGCATTCTAAAATAGAATCCTTCATCTGAATCTTTTTTTCATATAAAAAGCTGCTAAGTGATGTACAGGATTTGTCAAGCCCATATAACATTCCCTTTAAAATCTTAATTTCAATCACTATTTGTTTTCTACTATTATACTACATTTTGGCAGCAATTATTTATTGGTCTGTCATTGCAGTAATTGCAACTTAACAATAAACCAGTCTGACATTTTAGATCTTGAAGATACATACCATATATATTTCTTTAAAAATAATTATACTTTTGTAAGCAATACTTTACAGTAAACACCTCAAAAAATCTACCATAAATGTGAAACTTAAAACGAGAAAATTTTAAGTTCTAAATCTTTATACACATATATCCAGATTTCTATATATATTATATATACATACATAAGTATATATAAAATATATATAATCAGATTTGAAAAATGAACAAAAACTGGGCACTGTACATAAAGTCTTTTTAAAACTCAAACAATAGAAAACTCTTTAAACATTAAACAATTTTAATAAAAGTTTCTGTACAATACTAAGCAGTTTTATTTACATATAGAAAATGTAATAGGAGTAGTGTTTGAAATTACAGAACTCCTTAAAATTTCAATGGCAGGTAAATCTGGAAAAAATAACAGCATTCCATTCACAAATATTTTCAAGCAATAAATATGTATTTATAAATAGTGTAAATTTACATCAAGATTAGAAACAAAAATCACAAATCTGAAGTTTATTCCTTAGTCTATGTGCAATCCATTATCTTTGTGACTTGGCTGTTAATTTTTTAAACATTTCATTTAGGAACCAAAAGTGTAATAACCGTCGTGGTTTCAAAACAAGACAGAAAAACATAAAAGCAGTAAAAAAGTTCCTTACCTAACTTTTCACATTAAAAAAAAAAGTTGACCAAAGAAAGCCTTAAAATTGCTAACTACCTTACAAAGAAATTACCAGTGAGGCTAGTATTTTTTTCCAAGGAAAATTCTGAAGGGGAAAAAGATGAAAAGTGGTTCATCAGCCCAGAAATAGAGAAATATAAAAGAGGTTGTCTTCAAGTCAGTAGTCTGTATGATGTTGCCAGTTTTGTCAGATATATACAAAACATGGAAATTATTATTTTTTTCTGAAGTATAGCTGATCAGCTTTGTGAGAGTCCTGGAGTAGGAGCAGTGCTCTCCTCAGTCCAGTTGGTTGACACTCTGCACTTGGAAGGTTGCATAGACACAGTTTTCAGCCAGCAGCCTTACGAGACAGCTACAAAAACCAGTGGTGCAGAACTGTATTACTTCCTGAATAGCAGAAAAGGTCTCATTTAATGTCCATGGAACAATATCAAGATGAGGAAGATGGTAATGGAGGAGCCTAAAAATAAAAGTAAGGGATGTTATTTTGGTATACAAATTGTTAATAGTGTTCCCTAGCTCGATGCTAAAAACATAGTCTGCTTATGAAAGTAGAGCAAAAAACAATTCTCAAGGAAGTTCAACAGCCTGCATGCAACATGATGTCCAAGTGTAACCTCCCTTACTGACTCCTGCCTGGATAATTTTCCTAAGAGCCTGAGACTATTACCCTACTGAGTGCAACTGCATTTTTCTGTACTTCTTCACCAAATAGTCATAAAACTCAAGAACATTAAAAGTCAAGAACATTATTAGGTTGACCATTTTTAGATTGCTTTAAAAAAAAAAAAAAAAAGGCTTATGGAAAATAATTTGACAAATCAATTATAATTTCATTAGTGACTGGCTTCAGAACCTATCAACTAGATAATACATTTTATTTAACATACTCCAGATAATTTTCTTCTTCAGAAGACGATTCAAATTATCAGGAGCTAAATTTCAAAAATTCAGTTTCTAATCGCATATGTAAGAGAAATGTATTGGAGGAAATCCAACAATTCAGTGGTTAGAGTGTCAGCCTGTGTACTGGAGGGTCGTCAGTTCTATTCCAGGTCAAGGGCTCATACCTGGGTTGCAGGTTGGATCCCTGTCCCTCTGTTGGAGCACATGTGGGAGGCAACCAGTTGATGTGTCTCTCTCACATCGATGTTTCTCTCTTTTCTTTTTTCTTTTTCTTTCTTTCTCTCTCTCTCCCCTCCCCTCCCACACTTTCTGAAAATCAATGGAAAAAATATCCTCACTCCTCGGGTGAGGATAAAAAAAAAAAAAATTCCCATAAGGTTAATACTTCTGGCAAAAAAAATATTTTAAAATAAATACAATTAGCTCTAAAAGCGGAAGTATATTTAAAAGCACATTTACTGATTCATTTTGTTGACAGTAGTAACCTGTGTTACACAAAAATTTTATCAACTTAGATCGGATGACAAAGAATTTAAGTGTTTAAAAAGCATGCAAACATTTAAAAATATAATTACTGTGCTATTATTTAGATTGGCCTCATCCAGGAAGAAAAGTGAAAATATGCTAACTTCATAGGAATAAATACTTGGAAGTGGAGGAAGGGGGAATGATTTGAGTATTTCCTCATGCAGTATCTAATAAGCCAAAAGAAAATTTAAATATTTCATTACCTCCTACTTATCAGATGGCAGAACAATGCTGCTTTCCTATCCAGCTAACTATGTACTCACATGTTGATTTCACTTACTAATGTAAATTGGTCATAGACTTGCATCAGGTCCTCCATCTTGTACTGTTCTAGCACCACAAAATTTTCCAGGTTTCTGCTTGTTTTTCGTGCACAATCTTGGCAATGCACTATGTAGGTCTTTCGAGAAATGCTCTCATTAGTGACAAAAAGCAGATCAAAAACCTCCACCTATTCACACAAGAGAAAAAGCATTCAATAGCAACAGTGGTCTTTATTTATTATATTGCTTTAATATAATCATATTCTACTTTACATGGAATTGTGGACAGTTATCTTTAGGTTAGAGTAGGCATCAAGACAAACACAGCCATGTTTAAGATTCTTTAATGGACCTGATTTATTTTGTACTAGACCAAAGACATGAATGGTAATGCATATTCAGGGGAGTGACCTAAGAGAATGGCATACTCATTACAACCACTGGCAAAAGCCTAATTCAAAAGTTTAATAAATGTCAGTCTATTTTGTTTTAAATCCAAAACATTAGTATACAATCAGATAAAAGTGAGCATCATTTTCCTTTTACTTCTCTGACAGTACCCATAACAGGGCACTATGGATGGATATTCGTCTTCCCCTGCAGACTGAGCTCCTCAAAGATAAAAGACTATGTTTACTCATCTTTGCACCTCCAGGGCATATCATAGTGCTTTGTGCTTAGCCAAGCCTCAAAACACTTGTTGAATGAATATATTGATTATTTTACAGATGAGGAAACTGACAGTTAAGTGACAGTAAGTATATAACTATAAGCTTCATGTTAAGGAGCCAGAGTACAAATAAAAAGTGTACTCATGAGTATAGCACAATTTTAGACATAATACATGTATCTTATACAGAAAGATTGGTGAGTTGCTAAGGTTCAGGCAGGATAAGGAATAACACTGCAGGATAGGAGGCATTCTGAAATATTGGAAAGCTTATATATTCATCTTCCTGAGGTATATAACGCACCCTAATTAGAATCTATCTAACCTTCCAATGACTTACTTTGGCCAGGTTATACAATATTAAAATAGCTGATGGATTAGATCATTTCAAATAAAAGCCAGCATCAGAATTAGAGAATTTCAAGGTTTGGAATGGTTCATTAATGTCCCTGGCATATCCTCGAATTTATTCAATGACAGAAAACTCTCATGACTTCATCATATCTTCTTTGAACAGTTATGTCAATCAAAATCCCAGAGTCCACCATGTCTTCCATTACCATCAATGGGCAACAACATGAATCTCATGATTTGAGCTAGAAAATTTGTGAGCATTCTTCAACCTGTCCCTCACTTCTGCCACTTAAGTTGTCTTGTGGATTTCACCTTCTAAATAATTTTGAATACTGGCCTAGGTCTTAAGATGACAGCTCTTCCTTAAGACTGCAATAGCTTCCTATCTCCATCCTTTCCAATTACTTCTCTTTGAAACACATATCCAAGTTGGTTGCCTGCTCAAAACCTTTTGATGGCTTCAATGACCTCAGAATAAATATCGAATTCCTTCAAGTCATTCAAGATGCTCTGTAAGCTTCCTACCACCTAGACTTATAATTTGCATAGTTTATTCCATTAAGTTCCAGCCACATTGGACTACTTAACCTTTTATAGACTAAACCATTCCTTTTCTCATATTGTTAATATAGCTCATAGTAACATTCATCCTACCTCCAATTCTCATCACTTTTTAGCCCAATGAAGTCATACTCAACCTTAAGGATGGACTCAAATGTTAATACTTTTGTGAACTCTTATGCCAATACTAGAAAGGAAAATGTGGTCATTTTCCCCCACTCGCTGCTGTCATAACAGTAAGACCAACTTTGCATTCATAAGTCTCATGTACATTATAATTAGTTGTTTATAATTTGTCTTCTCCGAGCAGAATGGAAGCTCCTTCAGGCACCATATCATCTTTATTTCTGCATCACTTGCAAGCCTTGGCTTCAGGAGATGATTGACCAATGTACTGTGAATTGCACAGGTGAGGATTGAACATTGATCTGCCTGTAGCTATACTAAACTACATCTAATTTATTGACATCTGTCTGCTTTTGGATTGTTCGCAGTTTAAAATCCCAAGACTAAACTAAACTTCTTGGTGATTATCATCTGTTAAATATCTATTAGATAAATGACTACTAGTATATACTTTGAGTTAATTCATAGTTAGTAAAACAGTATACCATCAGATTAAATTTTAATAGCTAAGTAACAAGAAAAACACAATTTCAATTTCAGTAAAATGTATTACATAAAAGTATAAATATATTTTTTAAAACAACTGAAGAAAAAGCCAAAGTAGAGAGGTAAGAGGCTTTATAAAACAAGGGTGGATAAGAACAGTCACTTACCTCGCATATGCTACAGTAATGCGCTGGTTCTTCTTTTGTCCGCCCATGCCATATAATCTCTTTTCCTGCAGCAATGAGAGCTTCCTTCAATGTCTGACATTGCTTCAGAGTTCTTAGAAGACAATACCTATTGTTGGGGAAAAATTATTTGTGACCAGCAACTTAATATTGAGTATTTTTAGCATAAAAGATATGCCATTAGAAATAATGCCAAAAGACTCAGTTCTAATATCTGTGACTTCATTTCTCTTTTGTCAATTTCTCAGATACTCTGAGATTTTAAAAAATAGGGTTAATATTCAGCAGGTCTGATAATATTAGATTAGGTAAAGTTGACAATAATTTTTATCTGAATATAAAAATATAATGATCTTAAGATACAAAACCTGATTCCTTGTTTAAATACAAGCTATTAATTTTGGCTCTTATTTGGGCAAGTCAATTAACCTCTTTGGGAGTCAATGTTCTCATCCTTGCAATAAGGGATATGAATTTCAGATCTGAACTGCTATGATACTAGCAAGACAGGAAGGCATATTATTTCTATCAACACTACTCAGGCAATCATAAACAACATCATCTGTATAGCTGCTTTAAAAAATTTTTGAGTCTATAAGCAGAAAACCATTTATGGTATTTAGTTACCACAGAATACCAAATTGGTTTCACTATAGCGCTAAAGAAGAAAAAAGACATTTAAATTCTCTACTTTAACTTGAATATAGTGGAATCTTTCATTTGTATTAACACAATTGGACTTTTCTTGTAAATTTGCACCTTTTTTAAACTCATACTTAAGATGCTAACAATATAGTGAATTCTCACAATCTGTGATTTTCCTATAGTTTACTGTTATTACTTGGAATTGTCTGCTAAATTCTCTTACTCTCCTCTGAATCTTAGTGGCTCAGATTCTCCACTTGAACAAAGAGGTTGGACTAGATGATCTCTAAGGTACTTTTCCCTCTAAAATTTGGTGACAATGAAAATACCCTAAAGAAAAGGAAATGGGTTTAGCAACTGAGTATTGTTTGAAAGCAAAGGTCTTACCTGTTTTATTCATGCTATTTACTCTGTCTATGACAGTGCCTGGCATATAGTAGGTGCTCGATAAACATTTGATTACTGAAAAACTAAAATTTAAAGTATAAGTAATATTTCCTTGTTATTTTATAAGTGACTAGGTTAAAGTACGGTCACTTATCAGAATCCATGTAAATTAAGCTAGGATAAAAGATAACTAAAAATATATGTCAAACTTGTTAATTTATTTAACAAACATAAAACAATATCAACTCCACAGTTGTAAGGCAAATCCATTAAGTATCATATTAAAAGAATTTCTCAGTTTGTTCAGTAATTCTTGCTGTAATTATTTAGTAATTATTCTAAGTAATTATTTAGAAACAAAATAATGCTTTAGATTATGGTTGCAAATCAAAGCTAGGACAGCTATCTTTCTCTCTCTCTCTCTGTCTGTCTGTGTGCGTATGTATATGTGGTATATGTTCATGAAGGTGTGCCAGGGGAGGTAGCAAGTAAAAATTTACATCATGGCAAAAAGAGATAGAATTTAATTTAGACTATGCCGCTAGCTCTTAAACAGTACCCGCTCTTCCCCTTTTCTCTCCTCGTGTCCCATACAATTCACCTTTGAAGGCCCTGATCTTACTGAGCAAGTTTTCCAACCAGGGCTTCAAAATAAGGTCTCTATCATAGGAAATATAATGCCTAAAACTCTGCAGATACCTCTGGAAGACTGGCAGATTCCACTATGCTCTCATGTTGGAAAACAAAAATAATAAAATACAATAAAAATCATAAAAAATAAGGACCAGGCAGAAGGCATGATATTAGGTACTTCACACATATTATGTCACTTAGGCCTCTTAACAACCCTGTGCAAGAGGCATTACTATCTCCATCTTGCAAATGAGGAGACTAGTGCTCAGAAGCTAAAATTGTCTCATGTCCTAAAGCTATTTTTCAAGTGGTAGGGCTAGGGTTATATAAATCTCAAGCTTTCCCTCACTCTCTCACACTGCACTCTCTTCCATGTATTCTTACCCACTCTCCCCTCTTCTCTTTGGAAGATGAGATTCAGTCAGTGCAGCTTTTTTTGTATACTCCCCCCAAACAGAGAACCTTGGTTCTGTGGAATATTACCGTTCCACTCTTTACTCAGTGAATAAACTTTCAACTCCAATGCTACTGACTACATTGGCAGTTAGATGGCAGCTTATAATTTATGGTTAGTTTGGTAGTTTCATCTAGAAAAATTCATTATACCACTTTCCTGCAAACAATAAAGAGTTAGAGGTAGGGTTGTTAATAATACTAACCCATGAGTATTCTGTGTCTGAAATCACAGCTCTAGAATTTTTATTCTGTGAGATATTGGAACTTTAAAAAACTGACAGCTCTATTAACCTGTTCTGACAATGAATAACCCAATTGTGGTTTCCTCCTTGCCCGTAACATTAAAATTGTTTGTTCCTTCCCATTTTCAAAAAGTAGCCGTTGGAACACAAGGGAACCGAGAGAGACAGAGGCTCTTCTGAAGACCACCAATGAGCAGGTCCTAAAGAAAGAATCTGATTCAATCAAAGGGTGAGGAAAAATCAGAAAATACAGAGATTTAGGGAAAGGATCCCAGGGAAGATACAGACATAATATTCAAGACTTAACAGTAATCTGTTCTGCTTTAATCCTAGACTTTGATTTTACATGAAGATAATGTTTGAATGTATTGAAGAGCTAAAAAATAAAAGTCAAACAAAATCAGGGTTGTTATTTCCTCTTCATTTAGTTTTGCTGAATTTTAATAAATTTACCTGATAGTAATTAAGAATTCAATTTGTTAAAAACAACATATTAAATCATTAGCAGAAAGTGTAAAAATGTAGATGATATGCTGTTTTTGATAAATGTACTTTAGGAATAGGGTCAGAAATACTTTCAGGAGACAGGGTAGCAGGGAATTCTTTGACTTTTAAGGATCAATGTGGTTTCAGGATACAACTCCTGCTTTTAGCTGTTTGGATGAAAGACTACCACAAAAAGGCAGGGAATATTAAAGACAGCTCTGGCTTGGAAGAAAGCCAAGAAAAGGCTGAATAGGAGCTTGGTGTGTCTGAGGTTACAGAGTAGAATCTAATCCGCCCCAAAACCAATCTGCAAAGATGAAACCTAAAGAAGGATAAAATTTTAGAGAATGACTTCATATAGGGGATAGAAATAAAAATATACTCGAAATATTAGAATAAGAAAATTGAAGACAATAATATTAGGACAAATGATCATGCACAATATATTCATAAATTAGGTAAAAGATAAATAGACATAGTATACCATGGATGCTAAAAGGAAGGAAAGCTCATCTTCAGGAGAGGGGAGATATTAATCACAGAAGTTTGCATAAAGAAGTTGTCAATTTAGATGTGAGCAGGAAGGAAAGGTGGGGAGAAGGCAATGTCCAAGCAGAAGAAATGCCACGAGCAAAGGTAGTATGGGGAGTACTCAGTGAGAAAACAATTGTTCTTATAAGATTTTAATCTTGGGATAAGGTTTCTGGGGCAGGAAAATAAAGGAATGAAGTCATGGTGATATTATGTTGAAGTTAAGACAGCACTGGAATTACTCTGACATTCTGGGGGCAGCTTGGCTAAGCTTCCAAAGTCAGTATGGAGACAGATGAGGCCCTGGTTAACTTGATATGGCACTTTTAAAGTCATTATGGTAACAATCTCAGCCACTAAGAAGTATATGGTGTATAAACTCAAGTATACTAAGAGGCACTTTGCCTTGCACAATCCCTATTACTGAAGGAGCCATGCAGGAAAAGTAAGCCAAGACGTGAGCCCTCATAACACACTTGCCACCTGTCACTCCAGGGTTGTATTCCCCCTAGGACAACAGTGAGAGTCTAAATGTCAGTAAGACATCTAACAGTTTCATTTAAACCAACCACATGGCTGAAAATCAAGGTCTCAGTCAATGACAAAATGAGTATCTTAAGAAGTTTAAACTCTCAGGTGGAAAAAATAAGCATGAAAGCAAATATATGTTAACTATCAGAAAGCAGAGTTTTAGAATTTTTAGATTTTGTTAGCTCAATGTTATCAAAAAGCATTGTATATGCAGCCCAACAGTGTATTAGAAGACCCCCTAGGACAACAGCACTAGGATCTATGCTAACTTCACAACTATACCCTCTCATTCAATTATTAGGCCAACCGGCTATGACCAGAGTTGTAGAACAATTCATTTATCCACTTAAAAATGGGAATCAAAGGGAAAAGGGAGTTAATACTTAACAGTTTGCTTTAATTTATATGAAAGAAAAGGGAAAACAAAAATAATGCTAGTTCTGGAAAAAATCTAATAGAAAAAAATATTAAATGCAAACTGCAATTGAAAACAATTTTTAAAGTAAAAAAAAGAAAAAAGAAATTAAGTTTGTGGGGAGTGGTTTTCAAGGGACTTGGTACTGTTGAAATTTTAAAAAATTAACTTTCTACTTCTCAGCATACTACTATCTGTATGTTTCTCCTAAATCTATGACTTCCCAATATTGAATTTTTCAGAGGAAAATGGGCTCTTTGGAATCGTTTTTGACATTTTAAAATGCACTGACTGCTTATTATCATGGTGATTTAAGTGGAGCTAACAAAATAGTTGAAGAAACCAGAATTTCCAACATATCACAAACATACTATCATTAAATTAACTTGCTAACTTGTAACATGATTACAACAATTTATACCATATTTATTGGTATATATACCATTGAGATTAAACCACTCAACTGCATCTAAAAGAATCTCTATTAGAACAAACTGATGGTTGCCAGATGAGAGGGGGGCTGGGGGGCTGGGTGAAAAAGGTGAAGGGATTAAAAAGTGCAAATTGGTAGTTACAAAATAGTCACAGGGATGTAAAGTACAGCATAGAGAATATAGTTAAGGATATTGTAGCCTGGCTGGCATGACTCAGCGGTTGAGCATTGACCTATGATCCAGGTGATCGCAGTTTGATTCCCAGTCAGGGCACATGCCCGGGTATCGGGATTGATCCCGTGGGGGGCATGCAGGAGGCAGCCGATCAATGACTCTCTCATCATGTGAT